CTTGCAGACACACATTGATCCTGCAGCTCCACAGTCGTGCAGTTCACTGCGTTGTAACCACTGGTCTCCATGGCGACGGAGGGAAACAACATGTGTTTGTCATCGAGAAAACTCTCTGTGCATCTGCCACACAGACTTCAGCTCATCCTCGTGCAACATTAAATCTCAACATTATTTGAAGTGTTTCCAGTGTCGCCGTCCAAGTGCTGTTTATTACACACCCACTCCTGTTTACCTAACGGACCCTTCCATAGGTACACAGCACATATCTGTCAAACACTAATGTATATGTGTGTTTGGATTAGCCCGCTGAGGTCAAACGTGTGTTTGGACTCTCCAAACAACAACGATTGCCATAGGGGGCGCCAAAGCCATTAACAGACCGCATGTAGATGTGGACCAAATATTTGGCAATAACCTTGCACTGTTGGCTTCCATCTGGCCCAGAGAAATGGAAGAGAGCCTCATGTGGCCCACATGTAAAATGACTTTAAAAAATGTTTTATATACATTTTGAGTGTAACTCTAGCGAATATGAAATATAATTTGACAAAACACCACAAACATGAAGTGTTTCAAAATTCATCAAGTGGGCAGGATTGAACCACCTATTGGGCCATGGGCCGTATGTTTGACACCCCTGACCTACTGTATAGCAGATTATGCAGCATGTTCTCAGCTAACCATCCCTCTCCAGTGACATCATACCATGACAATGCCACTATTCACATAGATGTTGCACAAAAAAAACCTATAGAATTGGCCACGCCATTGTGCGTGCTCTAGCCAGAGGTGCTCACATACTTCAGTGGGAGAAACTGAAAGGAACTCGTACCAGCGTTACCACGTAGGCTAATGTCTTAACTGCTCGAAAATGACTTCAGACTGAGCTAATTGCTCAATCAATCACCAAGTAGGAGAGCCCAAAGCCGACACATCTGTGGCTGCTGCGCAGCTGGACTTGGCCTTTCTGAACAGAGTTTGTATTTAAATCTGACTGGTTTTTATGCACTTGTTTACTGGTTGGAGGTTTTAAGCTCATTACCCAAAAATTGTGCGCTCTGTGTCAATTAATATAAAAGGCTGCTTTTAGAACCACTTGTGTCCATGCAATGTTTCTTTAGGAGCGTTACTGTTTTTTCCTTTCTGAAGTCAAAAAGAAGCCCATTTACAGCACGCCAGGAATTATGTCATCCACCCTCCAGTGCCAGCTCCACAGCCGAGAGAGCTGCAGCGAAGGAACATATAGTATTGTTTACCTAATAAAAAACTCAGCACCTTGCCTGATGCTTAGTGACACATTTATTGTCCTTAGCAACTACGTAAACAAAGATATTTGGGAGATAATAAATAACACATTTTCAGGCACCGACACCAAAGTGTTTCGAGGTAGTTCTGTCGGAAATTAGCAGTACAGTAGGATGGCGTGGGGCTCATTAAAAGGGAACTCGAAGGAGATAGCGAAAACATGCGACTCTTGCTAGCACAAGCTTCACGGTGGTGCGTAGTTGGCACGGGCGGCTGTTGTTCAGAAACAGGTTGACGTGGGCTTTCCTTGGTGCTGATCAGAAAAGACAGCAAATGCCTTCATGGTACAGAGGAGGATATCAAAGCATCGGAGAAGGAGAGACTTCTGGACGGAATACAGAGCACATATTCATTTAAGCCGTATCTGGATTTGTATGTGTGTGTGTGTGTGTGTGTGTGTGTGTGTGTTTCAAGGCCCTGTGGAGAACTGGCTCTTGGCAGTGATGTAATGCTTTGGCCGGTGCGCTGTGAAACTTGGCCTGCTTTCTGCAACGTTTCCTCCACGCTGCGAGGGTCAACTATCCCACAACCTCCATCGCACAACACACACCATTCTATTCCCTAGACCGCAACAGAGCTGAACACAACCACACCCGGCACCACAAGCACCCACTCCTTCACATGAAACGAAGGAAGAAGGGAAAAAAACACTTGAAGCAAAACTAATAAGAGAAAACATTCAATTCTCAGCAACAACAAGCTGAAAAAACCACACAGCAATCGGTTACAGAACCGGTGGGTTTCTCCGTGACTCCTGACTGATGGCACTGGGAGAAAATCAGAGATAGGAGAAAACAAAGATGGGCACGCACGCAGATACAGTCTTTGGCTTAAAGAGCACAAACAAAGCGCTTCGAGTCAGATATGAGTCCCCACGGACCCCCGGCAGTCCTCTGGCTCATTAACTATTTACACCAGAGACAGGCTTCAGTGCAGCTCTGGACCACCACAAAATCAATTAGCCTTCATTAGCCCAGGCTCTGGGCATGCTCTCTGTGGAAGGGGAGGCTTAGCTTCTGCAACTGAGGGTTCCATTTACTACCAAAGTCTAACAATCACCTACTGGAACCTACTGTACCGTACACGCGGGCCGACTTGTTTGCGCACATGTAGGGAGGTACGGTGGCCAAAGTCCTTTCATGTCACTCACAACGTTCTCCTTCTAAGTCAGCGTTCGGTGTCACCAAATATCAATACGGTTTCTCCCCTTTCAACCAGCCCCCCCACCCCCCCATGGCTCTGCCTGTCTATCAGTTTCCCTCGTGTCTATCAAAGTCCCGCTCAATCCCCCTTTTCTGCGCTCACACAATGTAAACGCTGAGCAGAGAGAGTCTGTCCAGGACCCTGCCTCCAGGGTGTGGGGTTACAGTGAGGAGATTTCCCATTGGCGGAAAGTCAACATGGTCGGGGTAATGCGATTAGAGCCGGATAGAGAACGTCGCAGGGGACACATGGGCCTGATCATAGCCCGGTTATCCGATAGCACGGCCGTATTTATCGACCTGGCTCAATCGCGGATATTAGAAGTCCGGTCTATGCTTATGAAACCGACGCTGGAGATCGCACCCCGATAACGCGATTAGCCTCTCACTTTCTGTCCACAATCGTGGAATTCCATCAGTCCCATTTAGACATCAGGGAGTAGGATCTCAACTCATGCACATCCGTTGATGTGCTTAGTGCCTGCACGGCCAACCGACCAGAAAGTTGCGCGGACCAGGTGCCTGCAGACGTTTAGTGACTGCATATGTTTATGGGAGGACAAACTGAGCATTTACAATTCAATTACACAGATAGGAGGAGAGGGGGAAAAAAAGAGGCTAAGATGTGTCTGGATGACGGCCAGAAGAGAGATAAGCCTAATACACTAATATTGTGTTACCCCAGCGTGTTACCATAGGAACAGTTGAAGAGATTCAAAAGACTACGAAGACGATCAATCTTTGGAGAGCTGGAGGAAGAGAGAGAGAATTAAATGCCCTGGGAATACTCCCGCTCTACTCTATCAGAGCAATAACTCTTCTAATGACCTCTGCTACCTCCCCCACTCTCTCTCTCTCTCTCTCTCTCTCTCTCTCTCTCCTTCCACAACATGCCTTTCTAGCAAACTCAACTATCAGCGAAGCTCTCCAAACACAAAGTACAGCCAGAGCTTTTCACTGTGGCATGATGAGACGCTGTCTTTGGATTTCCAAGTCATGATGCTTGCTCTGAACATTTCTGAAGCCGCTTCCAGTTCCAGAGGTATTAATTTTGAAATCGCATTCTGGCCAAAAAGTCCTGTTGCTACAGTAGTTAACAACTCAGATCCCGTGTGGTGTAACTTCTCAAACATTCAACCTCGAAAAGAGACATTTTTACTTTTTTGTAAGTGAGGAGTGTCAGTGCCAGATTTTGGATTTAGTGAGTCTCTTTGTGTCAGTTCCAGATTTTGGATTTAGTGAGTCTCTTTTACAACCTGTTGACCTTCTTCGGGTTTAAGGTTAAACTAGTTCACGTACAGGACTGAGCCGACTGGATTGGACTGGATTTTACTGGAAGAGGTGCTTAACAAAACTTCCTATTGCAAGCACTCGTCTTCCTCTCATGCACTCAAAATATTATTACAAGTGCTGTGCAACTTGAACTGGCCCTAATGAGACACAGTGATACACACTGAGCCCAGTTAGGGATAGAACAGTGTAAACCAAGTGTTTGTATCAACAGTCACATACATCTGTTTCCCTCCAGTCCAGCCAGTGATAAACTGTTGATGTGTTTTACTTTACCTTTCCTAATATCACTGATAAACTGTTTTACTTTACCTTTCCTAATATCACTTGTTAGAATTTGGTCTATACAAAGGGTTACCTCCCCAGGCCAAACCCTTATGTGGCGTGAAAAAAGTAAATGTAAATGTTTTGGTGAAAACACTGCCCAAAACAATGTTGTCCCAATCCTTTCAAATCCAAAGCAGGAATTAACACTTTCCAGTCCAGTAGAGTTTTTGTCCTTCCTCACTGTGTTTTACCATTTCGCACCTACCTGACATGTTCTAGCACCCCCTAGAGGCGGTGTGCCACACACATTAAAAGCCAGTTCTACAGGACGATTCTTTAACTCCCTCTGAGTGAAACGATTTCTCCCACACTTCTGGGTCGTTCAAATTTGCACTTGGAACCAGAGTTCCTGCCCGACTGAAGAGAGAGACAGTTCTTATCAGCTCGTCCTCCTTGCACTCATTCACCGCTGCTCGGCTGTGAAAACCTCTCTCTCTCTCTCTCTCCCACTCGTCTCTCGACAACATCTCACTCCCACCACTCTTACTGCCGGCTTTGTGAAGGATGAGGTCATTTGATTTTTTTCCCCGCTGTGTTAAACTAGTGCTAACAAGTTGCAGGACCTACAGAACATGTTCTGTACATTAAGATATACATCAGGCAGCCGGTGGGCAGCGCAGCCACCACCACATAAAGGAGCCATTATTCCAGGGCCGGTCTCCGGCGCTGCAGCACTGGCAGGTTTAGACACAGCTTTGATTACACACTACATGATGAAATCCACACAGACCGACGAGACCATGCAGCTCTGCTGGCACGGCCCAGTGGAAAAGAGAGTTGCAACACTCTGTGTCTCTGCGTGTGGGTGTGTGTTTGTGAGTGTGTGTACGTACATGAATGTGTATTTCCATGTGAATGCAGGTATATGCTCACCAGCTTGGCTTCTGAGTGCATAGAGGGGATGTGAGTGGACGAGCAGGAGCTGTTGTGGGTGGGTCCCTGCATGGCCATCATGTTGGAGCCCATGGACATTTGTCTCTCCATCTGAAGATCACAGCGTTGAAAGAATGGTCAAAATACTGAGGACTGAAGTCACAATAACGTAAAAATGTTCAGGCAGCTCCGAACAAGTGTTTGATAAAAGTGAGTACGCCAACTCCCAACGCTGAACGTCAGTTCAACATCAGGTGATTTCCATGTTGTTTGTTTTTAATTGACAGACAAAGGAGAAAACGATTGTGACGACTCTGTAAGCAACATTCTGCGATCTTCGCAGATTAACGTAAACTGGTACCACATTTTTTTGTGGGTATGAGGGTGGTGCTTTGGCCCAGAGGCCATGTCTCTGTCATTGGTGTGGAACCCCAGGGTTCACCTCCTGGGTAAGATCAAATCCCAGTTAGGGCGGTTGATGCCTTAGGGGGGGTTGGTACGGTGCAGTGTGATTTGGATGGCGGTCATAGAGACTGCTGCCCCCGCTGGTAACGGATAAGTGGATGTAAATGCGTATGAATGGAGCATCGACCAGGGGCTGATCATTTCAACAAATACTGTTGACACAGAGACTCGTGTCAGATTTTTCTTTTACATACAAGACGACAGGAATGCTAAGGAACGTTTTTTAGCAGAATGTCCAATTCAAACCTGGATTTGTTGACTGCCGGCCTGCAGTCCAGATCTGTCTCCTAATAAATTGGTCCACTGAGAATGACTACTAAAGACTTTCGAGCACGGCACGTATCCTTACAACTCCCACATATGAAATGGTTCTAAAATCATATTTTGATCACGGTGGTTCCATAGTGTAGCAGTTCTCACACCTGCCCTACAAATCTGCCTTACACACAGAAGGTCCTGGGTTTGAGCCCCAGAGAAACCACATACATGTGACAGCCTGTGTGGGTTGTGAAGACTCACACTTTGACACTTTGACTTTCCCCCATGTGAAACGAAGAAGGGACTTCAATTACTCCATAGACTGTATACTGCCCCCCATGGGGGAGTGGTGGCTTAGTGGTTAAGGAAGCGGACTTGGGTCTGGAAGGTTTAAGGTCCGAATCCACCATCTGCCAAGTTACCACTCAGGCGCTCGTGACATTCCTCTGTTCACTGTGGTGATGGGATAAAAACAGAGGTGACATTTGGTTGTGTGCAGTGGTGACAAGGATCTACCCTCCTTTCCTTTCCTGTACGGTGCCTAAATGCTACAGCATGTATCAAAAACATGCAGCAGGAAGAGCTTCTGTTGATGAAAGCAAATCTTTAAAGAAGGGACGTGTATGTACTTTAAGTGTTTACCAAATAGTTCTCAGAAGCTCAGTGCAAACACTGACGCTCTTTGTCTGTTGTGTTTGCCGTCACTGTTCAAATACATTAGCAAATTATAGATTTCGGTTGTTGTTGCTCTTCCAGAGAGTGTACCAACTGGAAAGGTTGGTTGTACTATTCTGGGATCACAAAAGTCTCTTTCATGAATAAAAAAAAAGTTTGATCCCAATGAGAACAAGGCCTTCGCCCTCGGGTCCTGAAGAAAGCGTTGCCACCACATCAAGGAAAAGCTGCAGCGTATAAAAGGGTGAGAGAGTGTGGGGACGAGGTGGGAGTTCACCAGAGCCTGATTTCACATGACAACGCTGCCCTGTGCTCAGCTCTGTGTGATGATAACTGGAGCTGACCCAAAACAGGAAGCCAGCATGGAGGGACTTAACACAGGAAGCTGCTGCAACAAGGCACTGTGTGTGTGTGTGTGTGTGTGTTTCTGATAAACGTGAGTGTCAGTTTGGTTAACACCTCCAACCCCGGGCCCTGTTACTGCAGTCCTTGTCGGGGGGGTAGTGGGGGGGTTGACTCTGCCTCCTTTACACACAGCTGGGTTCAAGAGTCGTTCTGAGCAAATCAGAGTTTGAAACCTGTTTGTGTTTCCAGCCTGCCCCGACTGACCGTGACCAGCGTGGTCATGTGTAACAGCTGAGAGCTGAATGTGAGGAAATCAGCTGGGTAAGCCCACAGGGGTCAGAGGTCAGCTGTTTGGGGTGACGGTGTGGGCAGCGTGCAGGAAAGAAGAAGAAACCTTTGTGTGAGTGTAAGCATG